TGGCCGGTGCTCATGTGTCGAGACCTGTGAGCCTTGTCGAGACATGGGCTGGCCTCCGGGTGGGTTGTAGGGGCCCTGGCCATAGGGCTGTTGGAAGTTTGGAGCGGGAGAACCCTGTCCGTGCATCATCGGGTAGCCTGGGTAGCCCCCCATCTGCATGTTGCCACGCATGTTAGGGTCTGCATAAAAGTTGTTCTGGTAGTAGTTCTGCTTGGTTGCTGTTAGCATTCTGTCAAAGTTGCCGCTCTCTGGCGAAAGATCCAGCTCGATCTTGTTAGGAAATTGTAGAATGGGTTTTGTAAATGGTAGAGGTAGGTGTTTGATCAGATCTGGCACCTCTCGGCCGTCCTCAGGTTGCAACGTTGCGCAGTCCTGAATGCTGACAAAGTTCTCATGTCCGTGCGGAGCGTTCCAACGCTTGTTGGAATATGCAATGGACTGCGTATAGCTTCCATGGTACAGACCTGTCGAGTCAAGCCGGGGTGTACCACGGTTACTGCCGCGTTTCAAGGACTTATTCTTGCCACCTCGGCCTTGTGTGTGCTGACGAGGGAAGTGCGAGGTAAAGGGATGGGTATTTACTTGAGGAACTTGAGTTGGGCCCATTGGAGGAGGCGGATAGTAAAAACCAGGCATGTTGTTCGGTGGGACGTTTGGTGGCTGCTGATGGGGAATAGCAGGATTCATCGCGGGACTTCTGTGCGCCTGCGGCGGAGTACCGAAAGGAGGCTGCTGGCGGTTGTTAGGATTAAAGTTGGGGGGCATACCACCGCGGCCCTGGTTGGGAGCGCCACGGCCGAAGTTGGGTCCCGGAGGATAGCCCATGTTTGGCTGATTGTAGTTGTTGAAGTTGCCACGGCCACGGCCAGCACCAGAGAACCCACCACGGCCCATGCCAGGCTGCGGAGGAATCTGCTGGGATGCCATGTCGTTGTGGCTGTGGCTAGAACTTCGGCGCATGTGGGGAGAGGCGTGCGATGCAAGTGCGTTGGGATCCTGAGAAGACGAAGTGGTCCGCATATGGGGACGCTGGAAGTAGGTCGAGGTCAGTAAGCGAACGGCAGAGATGAGCGAGAACTCGGTGTGTGGGTGGGGAGGAGCGTAGTAGAGTCTATGTATCAATTACTTACATCACCATCACCGCCAAAACTACCAAATGTCATAGCGTTTCCAGGGGGTGCACCAGAGGGAGGGCGGCCGCCTCCTGTCGCAGAAGGCTGTGGAATTGGAGATGGGGAGTTCTGAGGCGAGGTGACCCTGGGGTTACCGCCCGGGATTGCGATCGGAGCGGAGCCAGGCTGCGGTGAGCTATGGGAGGCGGCGGGAGAGTCCTGGAAACCGAACTGGATATTCTTGGGAGCCAAAGTTCCACTGAGACCGTTTGCGAGAGTGACCGAAGGGTTGCGAGCGTGAGATTCGCCGTTGGCGCTCGAGGTGCCATGGGCAACGGCAGGGCTTGCCGTGGGGACAGAGGGGACAGCAGGCATGATGGATGGCCGGCCGTTCAGAGGCGAAGTGGAAGACGACTTTGCATGGTGCGGCGCAGAGGCAGAGGATCCGGTTGCGACCACGGGCGTCGACTGAGGCTTCTTGACTGCTCCGGCAGCAGAAGCGTAGGACGGTGTGGAGGAGATGTTGGCAGAGCTGTTGATCTGCTGAGCAGAGGTGGACGTCATATGTGTCGAGACGGGTGAATCGAGACGATTGTGCCGGCACGATGAGGACAGGTCGAATATCGAATCCGAGTCTGCTCAAACAAAAGTATCAAGGTCTGGGAAGACAGGGACGAGGACGGTGTAGATGGCGGCTGTCGAGGTATTAATGGGGGACCGACGAGTGTGGCGACAGGAGACGCTAAAAAAGACCGACGTGCGAAAGAATCGAAACGGTAATTAAAAAGAGCGTTGTCGCGTGGTTCGTGGGCGTGCTGGCGCAGGCGAGGTACCGACAAAGGCGCAGGCACGGCTCGAGCTGGCGGCGTCTGGGGGGGTCGCTGCACCTGATCTCTAGAGTCTCTGGATGGCAGAGACTGGACGAGAAGCAGAGGCTGGAGGGGTCTTCTCGGTGATGCAGAGATGCACGGAGAGAGGCCTTTGTTGGTGATGCCGTCCTTGATGGTGAGGATCAAAGGAGGGGTCGGGAGGGTGGGTTGACCTACAGAAAACGTGGTTCTGAGGTCGTCACTCGGATGGTGGTGAAGAGGGAAGGGAGGAAAAGTGGAAAGCGGCCTCGAGGCGTAAATTTTTTTTCTGTGCAGGCAGAGTGCGGTGCGCTTCGCTGTGCGCGCGAGGGTGGGAGAGCGCAGGCAGGGAGTGCTCAAGTGGGTGCTCGTGGTGGGCAGGCGGGAGGGACGAGGGCGAGCGGCGGCAAGTGCAGGCAACCTTGGAAGCTGTAGTGGGAGGCACGATGAGGAGTGCAAGTGGACGGAGCAAGCCCGGTGCCAGCCCGGTGCCAGCCCAGCCAGCCCAGCCAGTGGGTACACTATGGTAGGAGTCTGTGTGGGCGCCGCCGCACCGTTCGCGCTTGCACGGCTACACATCCGCGGCCAGCCCCATTGATGCTCTGTGGTTTGTACTGCAGTTCTGCTTTCAAGTTCCTCCGCCAAATTGCAAATGCACAGGAAGCACACATGCAGAACCCAGGCCTCTCTGCAGTGGTGTGCGTAGCATAAAGGTACTTGAAGCACGCAGCAGAATCCAGGAATGCGTAACGGCATGACAACCACTACCTTGCCCAAAAAATGTTTCCCGGCTGGGAGTGGGAGAGATACGTTGGGCATCCCGCCCCCACCTGGGCACTCCGATCATATCCACGAGCAGCTTTGTTCGGGACAATGACATTCAGGTGTTGTACCCAGACTCCAATGTTCCCAAGGGTTGGTCATGATGATGCGGTGCCAGTCCTTTGTCCCGTCCCACACAAAGTCAACAGGAACTCCATTTATTCTAAGATGGAACGCAGCTCATCCCAGGACCAAGGGGGTTTTGCTCCCGTCGGGAGTCCTGCCTGTTCCCGTTCAAACATCACTCGCATCCAGACTTCCAAGGCTGCGCCGTGCCGCTCAGGCTCGCCATAATCAACGAGTTCGCGTCGAGCGCATCTCTCTGTTCTTTTTGAAAAATGACACATTTGGTGTGCGCGCGTGGCCACACATAGCAATTCCAATAAGACAAGAAAGTTCAGGATCGTGTTTGCCGCAGACTCATATTTGAACTGATTGAAACCTGGCGCCCTACCAACAGCTCTTTGAGATTGCCATGACAACATGGACATTATTGTGCCGCCCACCCTCCATTTCACGGGCACCCAGGACCCTATGCCCGACTTATCGTTATCCACTGAGGTCTCAATCTTTTTTCTCTCCTTTTTTCTTTTTTTTTTCTTTTTTGTTAAGCCCGGGAACCAGACGCGGCCGGGCGTGCCGTTGCTGTACGTCTGGGTGTTAATCACTGACATGGATGAATGGCCAATTTTTTACACGCATCCTCACGCTCGCTTGTGACTGTTGTGCCAGGAGGTTTGCCTTGCTGTTATATTGAGACGATACTGGGCTACCAAGTGGTCCCTAAGAAGCTCACTGCGTAATCACTATATGTTAGCATGCATTCCAAGAGCGCCATCGCGATCGACTCCGTACAGCATAAAAAGCAGAAGTGGATAGGCACTAAATCACATTGGCTCGAAGCAAAACTGCATCGCCGGGCTCAAACGTCCATGGCAATTAGATGACAGCCGATGACGTCGCCTGCTAATTGGCTAGTCCAGATGCCATTGCTCAAAGCCTAACTTTGTCTTTGTCAGGTTTAGGCTTGCTAGACAAAACTCGGGCTTGCTAAGCCTTTTCTAGGGCGAATGGTTGTTACTATGCAGGTCAAATCTGGTTGTATTTTGCTTCGGAATGGAGAATAGCTCTAATAAGTGTGGTCTGGCCTGGTCGCTTGCGTTTACAGTCCGGCCACTTGCTCCTTGTTCGCGCCGCCTGTCGGTGCCCTAGTCCCAGCCACAGGTACTGAACAGTCATCGACTACTTGACATGACCTGACTTTGTGACGTGCAAAAGACAGCTGGCACCACACTTGCTGATTGCTCGCTAGGTACTGACAGTGACTGAGTCACACACGCATGACTATCGTCATAAGTCAACAGCAGTAACGCCGGCAACTCCTTCTTTCACAGCTGCCTGCTTTTCTGCTTGCTGTCCAGAGCTCATCTTTGCAGACCCAAAGGAAAAAAAGAAAAAAAAAATCACTTCCTCCTTGAGTATTCCAAGCATATGGTCGGGTGCTTTGCTCCAAACTGCATCGAGCTTGGCGCTGGGCACGGGACGTGGACCAAGTAGACCTGGTCGACTACCCTCATGCAAGATGATATCAGCACGGCACAAAAAGAAGCTGAATTACGATTCGCCTCTTGACTAACCCCCTCCATCGACAAATTTTTGACATGTCTGCTGCAATCTGGAGCCAGGGCTAACCGGTCGTGGTTGGCACAACCGACGACTTGCATGGATGTCCACGCCCCCTGCCATTCATTATTGATCGCCAGGGAATGACATCGTTGAAACACGGAAGCTTCTTTCTCAGGTTGCAAATATCAGCCGACCGCCGGTTACATACATCTATTTTGGAAGCGAAGCGCATCTTGTTCTGCAGACAGCCCACTCCCTGCTTTTCTTCGTTTCTTCTCGTGCCATTTTTCTCCGGTCTGTTTGCCGTCGCGACCCGGTCTCTCCAAACGATTGGGCCTCAAGGCTGCCTGACAACCCCGCACATTGTGTCCTGACCTGGGGCCTCCCACGAGACCTTCGCCACATCCACCCCACGACAATCCGGACAACGTCAAGGGCCGTCCTGTCCACAACCAAAGCCCCTCCACCCCCACCTGTTCTCATAACTCGTGAAGGGTCTTCGCCATTGCCCCGCACTAGATTTCCAGCGCGACGGGCTCGACGGGATCGAGGTTGGACTAACATAATCAGCAGCGGAAATCATAAATCATTGTCCGAATTGGTGTAGGGGTTAACATTTGACGCTCTCATCTCTACGCTTCCCAAACGAAGCGCCCGAAATGTGCCGTCAAGCCCGGGGTTCGATTCCCCGATTCGGAGCTTGAAGGGTGTTCATTTTTGACCCTTGTGAGGTCAGAGAAGTTGTTTGTCGTGAGGAATATGTTCCTTTTCTTTTCCTCCCGACCTCCCCTGACCCGTGGCTTCTCTGCCAATGCCTGCCTCCGTGCAATAGTAAGGAAATAATGTTCTTTAATCAATTACCCACTTCCTCTCTTGACACTTGTGGCAGTACTTACTGTGGCATCTTCAAGTTAAAACACGATGAGCCAGATGAGCAGACCCGTGGCAATTGTTCTATACTCGAATTGACGTCTGTAATTTCCCTCGCATTCCGATATGGTCTCGGAAGTCCGAATCACTGGGAGCAACAAGGATTGGAACTAGAAATCATATCAGAACCACGAGCGCACGTGCGTATGGGTTAACTCTTGATTGAATGGTTCGCTTGCAGGAAAATAATATGAGGTCCCCTGAAATGCATCTCTATGTTCAACAGCCTAGAAAGACAAAAACGCATAAGCGTGCGTGGTTTCCCGTTCACGTTAGAGCCCCGATGGATATATTCCAGAGACTCTACTCCGTCTCAGCGCTCTCCGGGGCAGCCTCCAGCTCCGGTGACACCGAAGCAGTCGCGCCTTCGTTACCCATGTCGACATCCTCGTCAGCGACCTCATCAGGGGCATTTACACTCTCTACGCCATTCGTCTCCGACGCTGTGCCGTAGATGAACGCGTCTATTTGCGTTGTAGCGTCCTCCGAGGTCGAGCTTTTTATGACCACGTCGTAAAATCCCTCCGTCTCTGAGTGGTTCATGTCTTCCTGGGCAGCCTTCAACAAATTTGCGAGTTGTGGCTCGTCATCCACGCCGCTAGCCTTCAGTTGGGCTTCAAGCTCTTCAATGTTGGAAGGTGCCACGAAGATGTAGCGAGCCCGATAACCGTTGTCTTTCGCTGTGCTCGCGCGCTGGGGTGGAGAAAATACACAAGTTAGACGTGGATCACAGACTACCTTTAACGAAGAGCCTTTTGTACTTACCTCAGTGTCTAGCTCGATTATAGGAACCTTGTTGGCTTCCATCAGAGCGTCGGCCAACTTCCGATTTGTGCCAAAGTCGACACCCTCGCGAGTGATTGTCTCGAGGAAGTAGTCGCCGTCTAAGATCTGATTGAATGCCTTGGTGTCGACAAAGTGGTAGTCTTTCCCGTGCACCTCACCCTCCCCGATATTCCGCGTTGTATGCTGGACGACACGACCGAATACGCCCTTTCTCAGCTTCATTAGCTGGGCTGACAGGTCTTGCTCGGGAAGTCCTCTTGGTGTGACTATGACGACAGGCTGGGTATCTTCGGGTAGTTTGTCCTTTTCTTCGTCTTCTTCCGCGGTGTCTTCTTCCAGACTTTGGAGATCTTCAAAGATGGCGTCAACCTTTTGCCAGTCATCCACATGGTCGAGGTTCGCAAGCTTGTCTCGCCTCGCTAGACGGAAAGCCCTCCAAGTCTTACTTGCTTTGAGCTCAAGGATATCTGCCTTCTCCTTTTCCGAGCCTGCAAAGCCGAGGTCAAAGTCATCCGACGCGATCTTGTCCCTGAATTTATCGAGGTCAGGGAGTCTCCACCTGGCGGCGTCTTTCAATCTTTCCAAGGCGGCCTCGCCGTCTTCTTCTCGAAGGAAATTCAGATCGAGCGCACCCATGGGCGTTGGCCGGAGTCGTTTATTCGTTGCCAGCTTACGTGCGCCGTCCATAGCCACACGAAACTCCGATGGTGTGACTGCTGGCCGTTCGATCGGAGGGCAACTTTCAATCTTCCATCGCACCCATCCTTTGTCGCGCGAAAGGACGCTGTCCACAACCCTGAAGAAGAAGTAGCCATCGGGTCCTGCCTGGAGGTAGCTGGTGATGCGTTCCTTCATGGATCGTACCCATTTCGCCTGGGATGAGTTATCAGTATCGACACAAGCAATTATGCCATTGAAAACGCTTGAACTTACGTCGTCTTCGCTCAGAACATGATCCGCGTAGACTACAGATTTGTTTGGTGCTTTGATGCCGGCTATCTTGATCCTGGCCTGCGGGGCAAGAGAAGCCAAGAACTCCATAACAATTAGAGCCTGGATGAGTATGTGACGTCGGAAATAAAGGTCACCAATCTGCAATACTAAGTTAGCAATGTTGCAGTCAAGGGTAAGCGCAACCGGTACGAACCTCTAGATCAAAAAGATCTCTACTAGTAAGATATTTTGGATTGTAGTTGCTACCATCTCGCTCATCGGCTGACTCTGGATGCTTCCGCTTCTGTGCCAATATCCTGCTCTCATCTGACGGCTTCGTGGACCGCTGCATTTTGTCAACTGTCTCGAAAGCTGACAAGGTCGCGCCTAGGGCGTCCTTGAACTTGGTGAACTCGGCGGCGTCAAAGAGAGACAATGGCTGGCTGAAGTAATGTTGCAATGACCAAAATATCGGGTACAGCGCATCTGTATCAAGGGGCTTATCTTGAGTTGGCTTGTTCCTGGCGTCGAAGGATACGGCCTTTGAGCCTGCCTTTGAAGCCGATTTTTCATCCCTTTCCGGCTGGCTTTCAGAGCTTGGCTCGTCCACTTGCATTTCGTCGGCAGGGTCTTCATGCTTCTCGGGCACAGTCTCATATTTTGTGGCGTTGTCAACGTGGTATTCACCTCGCAAATTGACAGAACTGCGATCTCCCAGCGGGAAGCTCTGGAACATGAAGATGAAAACCCGACCACAGAATGCTGCATCTTCGGCACGAGAAAGCCGCCGCAAAAGCTCGTTGCATGTCCTCAGTATGACCAGAGACTTTTGCTTGAGATTCTTCGCTATGATCCGCTCTCTACGCGACTCGAGATAGTCGAATATCCTCCGGCAACCATCAATGGTCTGAGCGTCGAGGAGCTCTTCCACGAGCCAGTAAAGCAATGCTTGGTCGCATTGCTCGTTGTCGGAAAGAATCGAAAGGATGTCGAAGAAGTTCCAGACCTGGACGAATTCGGGCGAGTCTATTTGTGTTGTTGCCTGTTGATCGCCAGACAGTTAGCACACGGAGGAGCTGGCAGGGACATGATCTGATTGTACATAGGGCGAGGACTCACCACCAGGGTATCGAACAAGTCTCGCGCAGCAGTCTCGACGATGGCGAATTGCCGGGTCTTGTCGGTAGTTGGCGCATCTGTGTTCGAGTTGGCAAAGACCGAAGGTAGCGCAGTGAGGAAGCTTCCAAAGTTACTCTCCGCCAAAGGGGGCTCGATCGAGGTCGTGGGCTTGGCGTCGCGGGCGTGCTGAAGCGCCTCGTTCAGAAGCGCAGCGAAGCTGGAGATCTGAGCGACCTCGGGCTCGCTGTTGATTGCAGATGGCATGGCGGAAGCCGGTGGCGCGCAGGCTTGTTCTCCTCAGGAGGGTCTTCGGACTCTTTGTGGAATCTGAGTGATCATGGGTACGTCTGCGATCGGCGGGTGAAGCTCGTCAGGTAAGTCCGGCGCATGAGTCTCGGTTGCGCGACAGCAAGTCACCCTAAAGTGACGTAACCGAGGTCGCAATAGCTCCTTGATTGCTGTAAGGTGTGGCGCGCAAGATTCCGAGGACAATTGGACTTGAACCAGGAGCTGAATCGTGGGGACGCGTTTGTGAGTGAGCCCAGGCACGCTCTCCGGCTACAATTGTAGGTCCGCTTGCTATAGTACGGCTTGCGACAGGGTGCACTCACTTGCACGCCGCCGATAAGAACCATGGATTGGCGATAAGCTCAAACTTTGGACTCCTGTAAACTTGGAAGCTCCAAGTCCTATCAAGAACTTCTCTGCTCTTTGAGGTGCCTTGGGATGTTATTGAGAGAGAAAGTAAGACACCAGGTTCTTGACAGATCCAAGAGATATACTGCAAAATGTAAAGCCACGCTCACGCAGTTTGTGGTTTGGCAGGGCCAGTCTGCGTGCGAACCAGAACCGCGCACGAACAAACACCAAACACGTTTCATAAACCAAAGCTTTGAAAAGGGAGGCAATCAGTTCAGGCCCAGGAATATCCAGTTGCGATTTTGGAGTGTCGTGGTCGCCCAAGTGCCGTGGGTTTCAAACCGCAATTGTCAGAGATGCTTTGGGTGGTTTTATGCAACTAAGCGGCTTCCGTGCTAGACATCGTTCGCACGTTGCTACTCCTAATGTCTAGAGTTCTCCAAGGCTTGGTGAGCACGCGCCTCGAGCTTCACTAAAAAAGACTAGAAACCAACCACTCGGCCTGCACCGAGTCGCAAACACGAGACAGCACGCGACCGCCCATTTCAGCTGCCAGACTCTGAGCTCGCCCTGGTCGACACTCTCTCCACGCCTGCGTCAACGATTTTCGACGAGTACCTGCACTTGACTGTGCAGTGTGTCCAACAGCAAACGTCCGTCCGCTAGCGCAAACTGTAGCGACCGCACGCACATCCATGTGGTAGTCTCTGTCCACATCCACGCCGCCCAGTCTCGCGGTCGGCTCTGAGCGCCTGGAGCATCCTCGCGTGCCCGACACGCTTGCGACCCCGAAACATAGCCATCGAGTGCGCATGCGACATGCCTACCGCCAAGCGACTGCGGAGCGGCGCCGCCTCAAAATCACACGACGCTCCAGCATCCTCCACGGCTCGCCCAACTGTGGCCGACCTCGAGGGCGAAAATGACTTTTCAAAACTGGCTAACAAGCATTGGCTCAAGCCGACCAAGTCTACTGCAAAGATCAAAGTCAAGAACGACGTAGTCAACAAGGACATCTGGGCCGTTCTCGAGAAGGACTCGTTCCCCTACAAGTCCCTTGTCTCTTTGGAGGGTCTTCAGACACTTGAGAGCTACCTCTGGCCCGGCTACTCAGAAGACTCGTCCAATAACCACGTCCTCCTTCTCGCCATTCTGACCAACGTCAAAGCTCGCGAGCGGCTTGCGACATGGTCTCTCTTCGAAACGCGGCCGATCGACTTCAGCAGTCTCTTCCGGCGTATACTGTCCTTGTGTCTGGATCGATCCCTCTCGTTGGTGCTACGCACGCATCT